GCGTGTGGCCCCCGCCACACTGTCTTTCGCCTAACAACTTTTTATCAGGGGCATAGCCAGGAGTGGTCCTGGATGGGCAAGGGGCCACCCACTTAGCATACAAACCCACCCAGAGCGCAGGAAGCTTGCCCCTCTCCGCTCAGTGCTGCCGCTGGGCCAAAAGAGTGGGGCTGGGCGCTTGCCCTGCTCTGCTCACCTGCACTCCTGCCAGGAAGTGGAGCCCTGACCCTGCTCCCCACTGGCAATTCCAGGTGGGCAGAGCTAGGGAAGCCCCAGCATCCTTATCCTGCTCCTAGGCTGGAGCACCAAGCAAGTGGAGCAGGACAAGCCCCACACCCCAGTGCTCCTCCCCTGCAAGAGCACCTGGCAGGCAGAGTGGGGGGAGGGCAAAGTGAGTGGGGAGTGCAGGGCACACATTTTATTGTGGGCTCCCATGTTTACAGGACCCCTCTCCAGAGCATCTATCCTTGCCCCTCTTCCAAGGCCAGCTGGGGGGGAGAGATGGCCCCATCGCTCCTATCCACTCAGTCATTGCCCACTGCTTTATATGTGGCATCTCCCCCACTCCAGTTCCTTATCTCTTCAGTTTGCAAAGGCTCTGGGAACTAGAGGTGCTTCTGCAACCCTGGCTTGGAGTAGATTCCATTATATTGGGGTGGGCAAATACTGCCTCACAGGCCAGCTCTGGTTCCCCAGGGTTGGCCCCTGGTGGGCCACTGCCCCTATATTTACCTGCACCTCCACAGGAATGGGAAATTGCAGCTTCCTTTGGCTGCGGATCGCCTTTCCTGGCCAATGGGAGCTGCCAGAGTGGTGTCCTAGTCCGCGCCACTTCCCACAGCTCCCATTGGCTTGGGTAGGGAGCCAACAAGAGCTGCAATCACCTGTACCTGCTGAGGTGCAGGTAAATATAGCGGTGGTGGCCAACCAGGGGCTAACCCTGAGGAACTGCTGTCATTTTATTTCCCACCCCTGCATAACATAAAGGGTTTACAGTTGGTGCTATAGCTCTCCGCACCTCCACTATACAAATTGTTCCAACACCCCGTCAGATTATACACTGTTTGGATCAATGCCTGTGTTTGAAAAGCACATACAATAACATAGGCCCTACTGTAATCTGATAATACTGTTAACAGGCTAAGACCTACTTAATGTAAGTCAATAACCCTCTCTTCAACAGTTCCGAGCCCAAAAACCCTGTTAATGTGTAATCCTGTCTCTTCCCAGCTAGAGGGCATGTTGGATTGGATGACAGTGCTTCTGGGGTGAGAGTAAGTCTGTTGGCTGATGAACTGTTACCTGATGGGGCTGATGGGAGACTGGCGTACCTTCTCTTCGTGCTCTGGCAGCGGCTCCCAATGGAAATCTAATTTCCAATCAAAACCACCTCGTTGCAGGTCTACAGAGCGATAATATTGAAAAGTCTTCCAGTCGATGACATCTATGACAGGGGACACGATGTGATTTCTGAAAAGAATATATTTTGTTTTGAAGGCCAAGTTGGGGAATAAGTGGACAGTATGTCAGTTAGCCCTTTGTTCTAGGATTTAACCCTGTGAGGGGATGAGCACTCTTGGGAGGTACTGATTGCCCTCGACTCCTCTGCTGATGGGAGTTGTGTGCTTTGCCTATTGGAAGTAGGGATGTAAAATCCCATTTAAAAAGTTAATCCATTAAACAGTATGTGTAATTGGTTAACCAGGTTCCGGCTGGGCTGGAGTGGCGTGCCTGTGGCATGGTGTGCCCATAAGAACAGCCATACTGGGTCAGACCAACGGTCCATCCAGCCCAGTATCCTGGAGTCTGCCAACAGTGGCCAATGCCAGATGTCCCAGAGGGAGGGGACACAACAGGTCATCCTCCTGAGTTGCTTCATCTGTCATCCACCTCTGGAAAAACAGAGGCTAGGGATACCATTCCTACCCATCCAGATGGACTGGAGTAGCCCCTCCTCCCAACACACACATACACACAGTGGGCTCGTCTACACTGGCCCCTTTTCCGGAGGCTGCTCCAGCTGGGCTGGGCCAAGCCTGCCACACCACACAATGATGAGGGCTACTCCAGCCAGGCTGGGCCGCCGAGTAATAGCTTACGTTAGTAAACATGCCAGTTAACCCTTTACATCCCTAATGGAAGATTGAATGTATGGTGAGTAAACTAGGGAACGCTAATTTATTAAGAATGTACAAATCACAGTCATGTCCCTGTTAATTTGGGTCTTACTTTGGGTGCACCATCAAAATGTACATGTGTACAGAGCAAATAGCATAATAACACCCAGGATCCCCGCTTGGAGACCAGCACAAGGGCAAGACTCAATTGAGATGGTCCTTGCCCCAAAAAGCTTAAAAGCTCTGGATTTTGCACTGGATCTTCTGCACAGCTGGACACATTCTGTCCATGTTCTGGTATCTCTCTCTTCCAATATCTCAGTTGCACGAAGGGTCAAGTTCTGCTCGCACAACCTGACTGGTTTCAACAGGGTTTCATGGTGTGACTAAGGGTCGAACTATTCCTGAAGAGTAGAATTTAGGAGATGTATTTTGCTTATAATTTTCCACAGATTGGTCATGGAAAAAGACCAATTTTTCATTTGATAAGGTCAAATTTAAAACACAAGACTGCAATATTTAGCATATTTATCCTTGTACTGTATTATATTATAGCGGTTTGCTTTGTAAAAACCAGTACAGTTATCACATACTTGTACTATTCTTGCCATTGTACTGTTCCCGTATATTGTCTGTGTATAACCAGAATGGAACTCTGACCCCATGAGCATATATCATTTAGTTTGTTTCTAACATCAATTAAATTGGGGTCTATCTCGAAGCGGGCTATGATCTGTTTTTCCATGTCAGACATCATCTCACAATAACCTGAAAGTATCGGTAATTTAAAAAACATATTCAACAGCAGCAAAACCTCCTGTTTCCTAATCAGTGGTGCATGACATTTGGAAATCATCTTATCAGTTCAACTGCTCCAGCATCACAAATCTGAGAGCTGCAGGAAAAAGTTGTTTGGGAATGCCAAGTAACCCATCTTTGCTCCGTTACACAGGTGCTGCCACCAATAACTACAGTATAAGAGCTTGTGTACATAGGGAAGTTATTCCAAAATAAGGTAGGGCATGCATTAAAAGTGGGAATAGCTGTTGTGGGTTAAAGTAAACAAGAATAGGGCACCTAGGTTCTGCAGTAAGAGTGTCCAGGTAATGCAAAATAATGCCGTATGGAGACAAGCCCCAAGTGAGAGAAGAATCCAGCCTGCTCTCTGCAGGAAACAGATGTATTACCAAAAAGATACCAAGAGCCTCCTTTTTAAATGTTTTAGGACTCTTGGGGTATGTCTAGACTGCATCCCTCTGTTGGCAGAGGGATGCAGATTAGGCAGGTCGACATTGCAAATGAGGCAGGGATTTAAATATACTGTTCCTAATATACATAAAAATGCCTGCCGTGTTTTGCCGACTCAGCACTTTGTCAGCAAAAAGCATCAGTCTAGAGGGGAATCTGTCGAGAAAGAAAGCCTTTTTCAACAGATCCTGTAAACCTCCTTGCAAGAGGCATAAGGGATCTGTCGAAAAAGGCTTTCTTTCTCGACAGATCCCCCCCTAGACTGCTGCTTTTTGCCAACTAAGTGCTGAGTTGGCAAAACGCTGTGGCCATATTTATGCAAATTAGGCATGGGATATTTAAATCCCTGCCTCATTTGCAATGTCGACCTGCCTAATCTGCATCCCTCTGCTGACAGAGGGATGCAGTCTAGACATACCCTTGGTCTGAGATCATTCTTGAGAAGATGAGTTTAAATACACTCCGGCCAATAATGGAGGGTCAGCATGGTAGTCTTTGGTATCCTGTTATCTGCTCACTGTTTTCCAGGGTACTTGAAATAGAGACTGACAGCTGCTTTGGGAGCTGGCAACTCTGCATGGTGTTTATATAAGGTTGGCATATATATATAGATGTGTGTGTGTGTGTGCCTCATTTATAATCACTGTAGTGATGGTTTTCAGTGAAAGCAAGAGGGACTCAATCTCTTTTTCTATTACAGTTCTCATTCCCCTAGTGTGGATTTTAGAAATGTGTGGCGTCCAATGGCTAGATGGGAGCTGAAGTATTATGGAGCATACTGCTAAAATTCTTCAGTCTCATATTTGTTCCATGAGAAAATGGGGAGTATCACCTGATGGCTGTGTCTATACTGCACCCCTTTTCCGGAAAAGGGATGCAGATGAGACAAGTTGGAATTGCAAATGCAGCGGGGATTTACATTTTCCCCACGGCATTTGCATGAACATAGCTGCCGCTTTTTTCCGGCTCGGGGCTTTGCCGGAAAAAAGC